GATGACTTCAGACCATCATTGTTTGATTAAAATTAACTTTTTAGGACAAAAGTACTCGGAAAGTACTCGGCCAAGTACTTTCCGAGTACCTCTCTCCTCAAAACTTAAATTTTACACAACTGGGAGTGTCTGAAGTCTAACATTTATTTTGTAATCTTACCTCTGCACATTTACCATCAAATGCCTGTCCACTCTGACTTTATTCCCTCTTACCCAGTTCAGTATTTTGTAGAGAACGTTGGTACTCGGAAAGTACTCGACTACATCACTGCTAGATATTCATGTATACAACAACTGAACTGTATGAATCATATATTTCCATGAAAAGCGCCAATAGTAGCTCACACTACAGAACCGACTCATTTTATTTATGTACAGGGATGTCTACAATTCGTAAGTGCCAGTTTCTTTCAAATCTTGCATTAATATCCCTTTTAATACGACACATAGAGACATAAGTGTATATAACTATTCAAGAACAAATCAATTTACTATTTTTTTCTGGTAAGATAATCAATGCTTTTATGGCAAATCATCTTTTTATGATAATTTAAACACCCTTTTCAATGAACGAGACTGTGGCTGTTGTTAATAAGGGTTCACCTGACCAATCAAACTGCCCCTGAAATAAATATTCATATTATCGAGATTCTTAGCCAATCAGAGTGCTCCGTCCAATTTTGGTAGAAAGCTCCATGTGTTGTGCACAAAACGACTTGCAAATGGTCCAGGTTGGTAACTGGGCACCGTCAGACACGCATATCGGGGAGCGAGGTTGCACTAACTGTTCCCGCGTGTAATTAAATCGCTCGCCGTACATACATGTACACCACGCCTTGTACATTCGCGTACGCGTCGCGCGCGAGGAAGGTGGACTACACCCAGCCAATTACTGACTTGATTTGCCACAGTCAGTTTTCAGTCACAGACGACAATCAGTTCTTCTACTTCTGAAATGGGTTTACATAAAAAAATAATATACAAAGTGGCCTACAATAATACAAGATGTAAAGCCCCAAGTTATTGGGCAGAGTATCAGATGCGGCAAAAGAATGGAATTCCATGTAGCTTAAATTGTCCAAATTAACTTTGATTCTCAACGTCTTAATTTAATCCCCTACCTCTTTAAATTCGATTTAGCTCACAAATTCCCCGAACGCCAAGCTCGTGGATGCATGGCGTCAGCCACGCTAAGCTCACTAACGTTTAAGCAAAGAAACCAAAGCCGAGTTTCAGTTATGCAACAGTCGTCGTGTACAGACCCGGAAATAACGTACATGTACATTGTTCACTGATGTGCACTCTAGATGCCTTAGTGTTAAGACTCATATACTTAATGCTAATTCTATAATTGTATTTACTTGTTGGGGTTGTTTCCATGTTTTACCTGTCGGGAGAGCTACTTTATTGTGATTAAGTTCGCTTTAGTGATCCTGCGGATCTATGCTTAGCTGTTGATTGTTAACCTTTTTTAATGTTTGTAACAATGGTTTTGTAAAATTATGTACGTTTGTTTTTGGTGCACCATGCAAAACAATAAATGACATGAAGAAAAGTTAGGCTTCAAAGTTTCCTATACAATTTCTACAAGTCAACACAACAAATTAGTTTAATGATTTGGACGCAGATCAACTGCGTGTGATCCTACGGTGGTTAAAAAACAGAAAAATGAACCAGAGCACTTGCAAACCAATTTATGAAAACGATCAGAAAAAAAGAAAAGATCAAAGGACAAAAGTAACATAAACGATCAAAGGATGGTGTGGGTGACAAATTGCCGTATGTTATGACTTCACCCTTTGTCTATAGAAAAGGGGTGCCAGAAGGCAAAAGAGGAGTATGGGCGAGAACTTGCCGCATGTTATGATTCACGTTTTGCAATAGAAAAAAAGGGGGTGCGAGAAGGCAAAAGGGTGCGGGCTGGACTTTGCTGTATGTGATGACTTCACATTTGCCGATAGAAAAAAGGGGTGCTGGACTGGCCTGGGTTTGCCGTACATGTGTATTGTAACTTCGCGTTTGCCAACAAAGATAGGCAATGTAGTCAGTTGATCGGTTGGTCAAGTTGTTGTGAAGTCATACTATTTTAAGTGTGCCGGCAGTGGGAAGTTTTTTCGATTGTCGGATTAGTTGTCTCTACTTGTTTTTACAAGATTACTTACCCTAAACCACATCAGTCAAGTGGGTGTTCAGCAGCTAGAGCCATTCTGGTGTAGTTTTCCTTTTCTTCGTCTGGCAACACACGCCACTCATCACAAACGTATTGATTAGCAGTGGAAAAGTTTGGCGTATTTGCAAGAGCCTATTTTAACAAGAAATACCCCCCCAAAAGATATTATTTGTCTACAAAAATGATTAAGTTGTTTAGCTGTTACAGCATTCACTTGAATAACTGTCCAGAAGAACAACCCGGAACAACTGATTTAATAATAATACCTGCTGGAACTTGAACTTCTTGAAGACGTCAAATCGGTAGGCAATCTCGACGGTCTTCGCTGAATATTTCTCGTTGTTAGCCTGCGTGTTTGACATGGTTTGACAACTCCAGGCCTCTTTTCAGCTGGCGTTTCAGCCTAGTTAACGCCAATATCCTGAAAGTACAGGACACTTGTTATTTTATTGACACTCTTAATTACCGTTTGAAACTAACATAGGCCTGTGCCTATTCAATTTACCTATAGCTTGCGTGCCCATGTATTAACATCGCTGGCTTTATTGGCGACTAATGTCCTCTTTGGACATTTTGTATTTTTTAATGGGTTTTCGCTATAAAATATATGTTTGTATTTGACACACGAAAGGATTTCCCATGGAGACTTTATCATCAAAGTCAAATGGTCAGGTTAATGAATTTGAATCCATGCTAGCCAGATTGTAGGATACTCATAAGTCTATTACCGTTTGTTTCCTCTTTCTGCAATGTCACCTGGGTGACTGAAGCAGCTGTGGGAGAGTTTTTTGCATGCCTAGTCGGTAGTTATCAACACCTACATTACGGCCATCACGGGCACAGTGGTTAAAGGAGTTGTAAGATATAATCACCTATCCCCGCCGAATTCCTTCTACAAGGTTATTTAAAACGTATAGGGGATCATCGTTGCACTCTGTTTGAGATGACACAACTATCCAGCTTAATGGAATTCTTTTATCGGGTAAATTGCTACCCTTCCACACTCTTCCTCCGAGGCGTCTTATCTGAGAAGACAACATCTACTGGGCAGCACCTAGCTTGCCAGCAAGGACGAGCATTTGGTTAGCTAGAATATCGTTCGCATACAGTGCGTCTTCTGCTGTACTGGTACTTGTCAGCGTGCCCGAGAGCTGGCTTTCTCCGTCGCTGTGATTCCCCTTGGCACTACTTTCTTCATCAACATCACTGGCTGCCAGGTGGTCCTCAACAAACTGGTCAAAGGCAGCACGAACTTCAGGCGGACAATCCCCGATGCGATGCCAAAGGCATCTCCACTGCCATTTGAAAATTGATGGCAAAACTGTGGGTCTGTTTTTACCGCCACCTTAAAAAGTGTGTTGATAAAAATGGGTCATATTCAAGTAATGTCGGTGTTCACCGGCTTCTGTCGCTAGTCTCATCTTCGAATGAAACGGAAACGTCTCCAGCAATATTGGAATGACGGCGATGAGTGTCATCATGTAGAGGGTTAAATTTCTGGGACCCTACGTGAAGCACATCAAACGGTGGACTCTGTCTGCGTGGTTCAGTAAGACTCGACGTCGTTTGTAGAAAGACCAAATTTGAAGTCGTTCTCATTCTTAATGTGGGAATCATCGTGAGGTGCCTTTGGAGAAACCGGAATTGTCAGCAATTTATACATTTCAATAAGTGAAGATGTATCATTTGAAGTCGGCTCTTCTTTCTGAAAAATACAAGGCCCAATCCAGAGGCGAATCTAGGCAAACAAGGAGGGCGGTTTGGGGAGTTTGTTCAGTCAATGAACAGAATGCTACAGTCTGATGTTTCAGGCCAAGAAGAGTCACTACATGTATATCCTGCGGCAGTGGTTGAATGTACTCGACATCAGGGATGACATTATCTAGAATATCAGAATAGTGTGCTTCCCGCCCAAACTCCGGCGGGGGAGCTAAGATGACTTCCGCACTTGTGGTATTCCAGGTAAAATCCTGCAGGTCTCGGTTGTCATTAAACTGAAGGGTAAATATGCCCTCTTTGCCACTATGGACGTCACGTTCTGCAGTGTTAGAAACTAGGTTACGTAGAGCAAGTACCATTTGCTGCCGCTTACCGTCTTTGCTAGAGGCACATGCGATGCGATATCTGAAATGATATGTACGAGAAGTTTCATAAGCTTCTTGACGATTCGCGATATCGCATAATTGGGATCGACAGCCACGTGGTCTGTATCAATGGGTAGAAGTCTATCCTCGTGTTTGCGATCTATGAGAGTCCCAAGGTTGATCTTCTTCCTGTCAATGGATCAAACTTTCCTTTGTCTCCTGCATCCATTGTCTTAAAAAGATTCCATCCGTCTGATGTGGTTAGACCATGTTTACCCCCAATTACTGCGTCACAGGACATTGAATCTTGTTCGCAAAGAAGAGGTTGGTTATCCAAACCTCTTTTGGGCTGTGTAGTTTCACGCCATAAAGAACCTGCGAGTTGTTGATGCAAGTGAGGCCAATCAGGCAGGTTTGCCCCCTCCCTAACTTGCTACCATCACCAAAGAGACGCCACCACTTTTCTTGACTAAGTACAGAAAGAGAAGACAGTGCCTCAGTCGTGAAGGGTCAATGGACATTCCAGTTGCCGTCCTTTGGGGGTTAAGCACATTCATTTTAGAATTGATCA